AATCTACATTTCTGTTATATATGTATGTAAATAATGTACACAAATTAGATAGAGTTGTAGAATGTATTACTGTGAATGAGGATCAAAAAGTGAAAACATCTGCATTGGACAAGGGAAATGTAGACTGACAACCACAAACGCACACCACCTCCCCAAATCTCTGCTGCTGCTCAGCCTCTTCAGTAGTAACTAACCTTTAGAACACAGTTCCCCAAGTGTCAGCTGAGCTGGCGAAGGAAGGCATGAGAAGGGGGGCTTCTTCTCTACCCCTCCCCCACGTCCTGGGTGCTGCAGCGCCCCCTCTAGCATCTGCCTTGGTACTGCAGTAATCTCTGCCATGGTTGTGACGACCCACCTGAGGATTGAGGGGTCCACGACCTTCAAAACAGAAGGCACTACAGAATCCAACTCCTGGTGTTGCTGTCAGCTCCATGGGACCCTGGGTGGGGCTCTCAGGCTGAGCAATGCCCCATGCCTCCACACGCCTAGGGAAATCTGGGAGAGTCAGGGCCTCGGTGTGAGGGACACAGACTGAGGTCCACAGAGGGCGGGGGGCTCTGGTGTTGGCTGATACAGGTGGGGAATAGAGTCAGGACTTCCAGTTCCTTGGATCTGACCTCTGCCCCTGCTATCAACCCTGGGTGACCCCAGAAACCCTCTCCGGAAGTGCAGTCCACTAACTTCCGCCTCCTCGGATATCTGAGAGAGGTGAGCGCCGCCTCTGGGAGGCCGGCTTCGGTTCAGTAGAGGGAAGGAGCCCAGTTCTGCAGAGAGTCAAGGTATGACCCTGAGGGTCTCTGAGGGCCGCGCAGAATCCAGGTTTACCCCTGCTGTCAGCACTAAGAGTCCTGGGGGCGGGGTTGTCAGGCTGAGTACTATTTCCTACAACCAACCTGCCTCTACCTCCTCAGAGAACTTGTGAGTCAAGGACAAGTTCTGAGGGGAACAATCTCAGGTCGGCAGCGGGCGGGACCCAGACTTTGCCTGGGATCAAGGTGAGGACCAGAGAGAGGGCTGAGGGACCCCCCATGGAATCTATTTAAGGCCCCTGCCGGAAGCCCTGGGAATCGCCAGGCTTGGTGGAGTGATGGGATGTCCACTTCACCCGGGGGTCTCGGGCTTTGAGGGCCTCCATCTAAGAGTCGAGCCTCCCGTTTAACAGAGGGAAGGTCCCAGGACATGCCAGGGCTCATGGTGAGGACCATGGGGGAAGACAAAGTGACTCTGGACCCTAGAGCAGTCAGTCCTGGGACGCCCAACGTGCGGGATGACCTCGAGCAGCCATTACGGACTTCCTCATGTCCCGGGTCTGAGACACTCTAGGGGCTCATTGCAGAGTCTCAGGTCGACAGACTGAGGGTTTAGGACCTTCCCGGAGTCAACGTGAGGAGACCCTGAGGTATTTTGAGGAACCCCGGAACAGTGCCCATCCAGCAGGCTTCATGAGGGTGGGGTAGGGGGAATGATCACACAGGGTGTTTTCTGATCTCTGCATCTGGGTCTGAGAGACACTGAGGGTTTGGTATAAGTAACAGGGCTTCCTGCCCAGAGGGGAAGACCGCAGTTCCTGCTGCTATCAAGTTGCAGACACTGAGTGAGAAATAGGCGAACCTGGACACGAGAATACTCAGTCCTGTGAGGATGAGTGGGCAGGGTGACCACAGGGGGCATTTCCTGACTTTTGCATCCGAGTCTGACATTCTCTGGGGTTCCCTATAAGGAGCAAGGTCTCAGGTCAGCAGGGGGAAGGCCCAGGACCTGCCAGAGTCAATCAAGGTGAGGACCCTGAGGGAGGACTGAGGGAGTGCAGGACCACTAAACAGAGGGGAGTCCACAGAAGCCTGCCCTGCTTAAAGTCTTGGGAGGCCCTATCATGGATGACCACACAGAGTAGACACCACAGTATCCTGTACCTGATGCCAGCCCTGGGAATTCAGGGAGAGGGATGACACCTGTAGTACAGGGGAGGACACAGTCATACCCAGAGTCAAGGTGAAGATGCAAAGGGAAGACTGAGGGATCCTGGACCCCACAACAGAGAGGACCCCACATAATCCTTGCTGTGAACCCTGGAAGGCCCCTGGTCAATAACCACATTCTTTGTTCCTGACTTAGGTATCTCAGGTTGTCAGAAGACAGAGCCCAGGTCCAGCCGGGAGTCAAGGTGAGGACTCTGAGGAAACACTAG